ATTGTAACGGGCTGAACGCCCTTTGGATAGCTCCTCGATGGAATCTCGGTCAAGCAGCAGACGCCAGGTCTTACTCTGCAACCCGGCATCTGTGCGAGGCCTGAGCGGCGCCCAGACGACGCGCTCAGACACTCGGTGCAACCTTTCTCCGACAAGTAAATAAACACCACGCAAGTAGACTCTATAGCTCTCTATCGAATACAACCTCTTGTATACCTCGCGATTGCTCCCCGGAGCGCAGCCCCTTACATATATAGCCTTATCTTATAGTATATAAATTAAGAATAATAACTTTATTTCTTTTTTTATAGCTATAATAATATCACTATACTAATTTTAAGTTAAAAATAGGTTGTAAGATATTTTAAGGGTTTTATAATATAAGCTTTAGGCTAAATAGGCTAGTAGGTAGTGAGATTGTTTTAATGTTTTATTAATTAAGATTAGATATTGTAAAACTTATATACTATAGCTAAAAAGGATAAGACCATACTATAGTACATGGTATAATAGTATTTCCCCATAAGGAAAGTAGAAACAATTTCTATTGAATGTAGTAATAAGGTAGGTACTTAAATTAAAAAATTAGTAGGAAAAAAATCAAATTGTTTCTAAAAGGTGAATAGCTTCTATTATGAATTAGCTGTGTTAAGTCACCTCGTTAGATGATAAACGCTTGAATGCTAGAACGATAAAAATGCCAGAAACAACTGTATAGCCAGAGCAGCGCGGAAAAGGCCAGAAGAGCTAGAGCAACAGCTAAAGCTGCACTCCTTTTTAGCACTGTAATAGGCTGTAGGAATGTTTATAACATGGTGCTCTCAAAGAGATTACTTGACTGTAATTAGTAACAGAATAAATTTGTATCTTCCTACACTTACTTGTTATGATCATGAAAACGCGTATACCTAGATCGACGTGGGCACTGATATATAGCTTGGCAATTACGTGCATAAGCTTGACCTCTAGCTGCACATCGGCCGTAACAAGCAGCGAGGCTTGGATCTATCGAATTACCTGTTCCTTTGTCTGAGGCTGGGAGTGAGGCTTGGATTGAGGGTGTGAGTGAGGTTTTGAGTGAGGCTGGGAGTGCTGTAATCCCACAAATTTGAATAACGAAAAAGAAGAATATTGATTTCATGTCGATTGATTGTTGCTAGGATCTTGTTGAAACTTGAAAAGTATACATGTACTATGTAATAGTATTCAAAGGAGGTTATATTGAAGGTTGAAGGTAAGGAGACTGTACTTCTGATGGAATAGAAAGATATCGTAGAAATATATACACTTTTCCAAGCACTGCTATGGAAAATCTCAATAGCTAAAGGAAATGTTTATAGGGGTACACATCTTACATGAGCTAATCCCTGCCTCTGCGTATAGGAGATAGAGTTTAGAGAGGGACAGCTATCTTACATGAGCTGACGCCTACCTCTACCTCTCTTATACAAGGTAGAGGTTACATCGCGACAAACACGAAGTTAGCAGTTACATTAGAGCAAAACTTTGACGTTCGCCGACAGCTTCTTCTACATATAGGAGGTAAAATATGGATAGGGGCAGAGGATAGATACGGGTCGAGATGTGATGCCAATTCAAGGAGCACACTTCCAGGTCTTTGAGATCGATTTCCTCCACCTCAAATCTCGCTCAGCGTTCACATCGTCTAGTCGCCGTCGCTGGCAGCCAAGTCCGCCGAGCTGCACGCAACGCCACCGCCTACATTAGACGTTACGATAACTGCGTGCGGATCTGTAGGATTAATGTCTTCACGTCAATCACTTTACGTTATTTGGAGGGATTTGGCGCAGCGAAGCGGGTTTGTGAAGCATCTAATTAGATAATACAGCGTTTTAGGAAAAATAGGATGATAACAAAGGTAAAATGAACAATGTGAGGCGTGAAGCTTATTAATGCTCGCAATTTTGACATGACGCACAAGTCTCTGCGTGATACAACCACAGAACCCTGATTCCAAAACTTTGTCTTGATAAGACAAGCGGCTTGTTGGCGAATAGTGTCGCCGCGTCAGCGCCGCTGCAATAGCTGAGATGGCTTCCAGTAGCACCGCGATCTCCGCTACCACCGCAAATCCGGTCAGCGGTACCACCGGCTCCGTTGAACTGGGTGGCAAGATGATTTCCAATAGCTGCGCGCTTCATCGGGTCTCGAAAAATGACTGTACCGCTAATGTCAAAGGCGAAGAGGCTGTTGCGAAGTGCACTTTAAGCGATCATTGCACATTGGAGCGCCTTCCGAGAGGGGAGCCTCCAAGACCCGGTAGACCGAGTCCTCCAACAAGTGGCAGACCAGAGCCTCCAGATGGACCGGCGCCACCCAGAGCTGGCAGACCAGAGCCTCCAACAAGTGGCAGACCAGAGCCTCCAGCAATTGGCAGACCAGAGCCTCCAACAAGTGGTAGACCAGATGAGCTGGAACCTCCAGGCGAACCGGAGCCTGCTCCTAGCACCGGCAAGCCGGAACCTCCACCAAGGAGAGGAAGCTTATTGCCAAGGCCTAAGCCGCCAAGCTGGGGACTTGGGTATGCGGTGACCACACTGACAAGGGCCAGGATTTGGGCTATGATGTACTTCATGTTGCGGGACGGATCAAGTATTGAGCGGCTGCTGTGCGTAGACTAGAGATCGAGTAAAGTTCGGGTTTTCGAAGATAGGGAAATGAAACGAACGAGTGGATGACTTCGAGAAAGAGCGCGGTTTGTTGAAGGACGTTTGGAAGCGAATGTAGAATCGAATTTGATACCGTCTCCATCAAGGTCAGGCATCCCACTCTTATACCTATTTTCAGGGATATCTAGTGGAAATTCTGTGATTACGTCAATGAGCATTTGGGTTTTGAGACGATACTTGGATGTACTATTTTAATGAAAGGATCTACTAGAGCTAATCGCCCCGCTGATCTGCGTGAACCTCACAGATATTTGCATAGGTCCACACCTCATACTCCCCACATAATCATGCATGCGGGTACCTACATGTTGTGGCATAATTAAATATCCATTCATTCGTAGGTTGCGTGATCCATATGTCTGAGGTGGTTGGTCGGCTGAAGGATCAACATATCCGTTATAGGCTGTCGTGTATCCCCCGTCAGTCGTTGGCTAAAAAGCATTTTTCATGGCTTGTATCAGATAATCACATTACTGCATGTACAGCTGGAATAATTGAGTTTGATGACGCTGTCGGCAGTTGCCGGCTTGTGGAACAAGTGATCTGATGTCCATCCCAAATCCATCGGGGTCTTCTTTACAAAGAAAACATAGCGTAGAGCCCAAACCCTGAATATTTGCCAAGGGATATGAAACGGCCAAACGTGCTCTTTGTAGCAATTACCAAGCGCCTTTTTCTTTTTTTTCCATGGGCACACAGCTGCTTGGCCCATGCATTGTGGTATGCGTCGTGATGTTAGAAGTGTTTGATGGAGAGCATGGAAAGGAACGAAAACCCATGTTGGTACACTGAGCAAGATAGCTCTGATGACCGGTGTACGAAAGCATGCGACTATGCAAAGTAGTTAGTGTTCTAGAAGGATGGTGGCGTAAGGCTACTAGTACATCCCATGTCGATTCTGCGACGCGCCTCGGCACATACCGTGTGGATTGTTTCGCGATATCTCTAGTGTGATGCGATCTCTTTGTCGCGTATGATTTGTCAACTAGCAGTCGTCTGACCGAACGGTTGGCTGTAGCGCTTGCCGACAAGCTTCTCGTGTTGGTGTTCCCGCCTTCATGTTTCACGCAATCTTCATCCAAGTGGAACGCACGCTTGCAATATGCGAGCCTGCATTGCTGCTTCAACTTGGTTATTCGGCTTGTATCCATTCAGCCAGGACTGTATCTGGGGACATGTCCACCAGCTTAGGAACACATGGTGTATAGCTCTGTCTAGTTGTTCTAGCATCACAGCATCACGGCCTTCCTGTTCTAGTCCGTCTCTCGAGTGGAAGTCTCTTCGCTGCTTGAACGTTTCCTGCGCAATACCTTCGCCCCTCGCTTTCGGCCGTTGCCGGAACAATTGCAGTGTCTGTGGTAGTTTGGCCCTCGACGTCAAGTGCTCTGGCGCTAGAACGAGACGCAAGACGGCGCCATGTTCGATACTCGGACTAGTTCGCGGCCTGAGCACGATAGGGAGGCATGGGGCGACCGAAATCGCCAATTAAAACATTGTTGTTTTGCGAATTGGCCAACGACTGCATGTCGACGCGGTGCATCGGTTTCCATTTGTCGACTTTGTCCACATATTTGAGTAAGTATTTGAGTCAGTCTACTCACTCCAGTCAGCTAGCCGAAGTATAAATCAAGATAAGTGGGGCGTATTACATCAGGTCCCATGCCTCGACAAATTGCCTCATTTCATCCAAGTTGCCCTGCGTCCCTGGTCTCCTTTCTTCCAAATCGTGTGGTGTGGGCAGAACAGGGTTATACATGTTGCCTTGGTGCATGCTGCATCCTAGGTGTACCGCGTGTGAATCGGGAGCCACCCAAAATCGGCACGCATGGATCTGCACCATCTCACTTACTTCTGCATCGCTAATCTGGTCGATCTCGACGACTGTGCGGTTTGCAATGTCCCTGGTTGGTAAGGGAGCATCATTGCGTCCGAGCATAGCAGGCCGTCAGCTCCGACAAGGGGATTGCTTTGTTATTATTATTATTATTATTCTAGTTTAACGTCCTTTTTCAGCCCGAAGGGCTATATAAGACGTGTAGGGTTTTTAGGCCTACAAGTATCTAAGTAGGTTGTTTCTAGCTACGATATTTAGGAGGGGTTTTAACTAGATGAAGGTGAGGCTCGTAGCCTATTGGTTGGTAGGTAGGGGGTAGGATAGGGTGGGGGAGGTGTATGGCTACCTGTTACAGGTATTACTCCTCGTTTTCTGTGTTTCCCTTGTACTAGGCTTGTGTTCCAGCCTTTGTTTCTTGAATAAAGGTAATAGTTGCTTCTATACCCCTCTTTT